ACCAGAAACATCACGTGGCCATCGGTACATCTTGGTCATGGTCGACTATTTCACCAAGTGGTGCGAAGCAGTTCCGATCGCCCAAGCCGATACAGTCACGGTAGCAACGGCGATGGAAAACCACTGGGTGTGTCACTGGGGAGCACCGGGGCAGCTACATTCTGATAGGGGCTCATGTTTCGAGAGTTTGCTGATTCAGGAACTTTGTCGTGTGTTCGGTATAGACAAGACGCGAACGACTGCTTACCACCCGCAAGGCAACGGACAAGTTGAGCGTACAAACCGGTCGCTGAAATCGCTACTGAAGGCCTTTGTGGAGCAAAATGTAAGTGAGTGGGACGCTATGTTACCAAAATGCTTGCTGGCATATCGAAACACAGGGCACGCTTCGACTGGTCAAACACCATCTTTTATGTGGACCGGAAGAGAAGTCCGATTACCGTCTGACATCCGATTACCCAGTCCGCAACAGCCACATTCATCGGTGACAGAGTATGTTAGCAAACTCCTTGATTCGCTTCATCAAACACATCAAGCGGCACGTATTCACCTTGGGAACGCCCATCGATGACAGAAAGACTATTACGACAAGAAAGTTTTCGGCGCTCCTTTAAAGGCTGGCGACCAAGTTTACTTGCACCAGGTACCAACGGCAGGATTTCCGGTTAAGCTACACCATGAGTGGACAGGACCGTACATAATACAGCGGGTGATATCGGATGTGACATGTGTTATCAAAGATACCAACAACCCTGCCAGTCAACCCATGACAGCACATTTCAATGGACTCAAGCCATTCCGGATTAAAACTGACCAATCTGTCGAGGGGCCGAACGAAACGCCTGGGGAAGTAGCAGTTGAACTGGAGGTGCCGGCTCAGGGCGGCTATGGGGTGGCAACGGCGACGCTGCCTGCTTAGAAGGGGTGTGGTGTAGAGAAGAATCGGTATTGTTTTGGCGCGTTTTCAAAGTTGAATCGTTGCTATAACGGCACTCTCTCCCGTTTGCCTTTCAGAGCGCCTTTCCTGCTCCATTACCGTAGGAGAACAAGAACACGAGATTGGTTAACTAGGCTACGTGTTGCGTAATAAAACTTCGTTCTCAACCCTTGGAGTTCTTCCGTGCTTGCGTGTTACACTCTATCCAACACTGAAAATGTACACAATATATCGCGTACGATCTCCGATATATTGTTGCTGAACACAAAATCCTACGTCAGTTGAATCGAATTCTGAAGAAACATTTTTACGAATTCTTTTCCGTTTTCAATGGATACAAATCTCGAAATTTTTAGTCCAACTTTTCGGGATCGTTGTCCGATTGATCTATGACAGTGCATCCTTATTTTTATCTCAATTTGTAAACTTTACACTTTACTGGTAACCCACTTGTAATTTATAATTGATAATGTGAAATGCTGAAAATGCACCCTTTTCGGTACATAAAGCTTATATTAACTTGAATTAACTTGAAACTTGAACTCAATAAATAATGCAACTGAAAGCTCGCCGTAACGGTCAGACATCTTGGATGCCCTTCTTTGAAGAAAAGGACAGGTGTGGCTGCTGTAAAGGTAAGCACTTGGGCAGTGGAGTCCCAGCAAGGAATAGATTACTTGCGTTAAATCAGTTGAAAGTCTCTACTGCATTTTCAATCGCATTTCATTTCTTTTACTTATCCCACTTTGAGTTTAAGAATTTGCATAGGAATAACAATGCGCAAGATAGGTCTGGTATTTTACAGGCCATAACTACAAAAGTTGCGAATCACAGAAAGTCACCAACAACCACCTTCAATCATGCTGTGAACATAGCAAAATTTGAGCGTTACTTTCCTCCTCCGTTGTTTTCAGTGACTCATTCCATTACTTAGGAAAATTCAATGCCAGTTAAAACAGACCTTTCCTTGCATTCAGCTAGTTATTTTGACCCCGTCAGAGTCACAGAGAGCCAAATGTTTTTAACGAAATTCAATTAGGCGCTACCCGAAATAGACAATCATCAGCAGTGTAAAATGACTTTGTGCTCTTATGAATTCATCGTCGGTTAACCGTTCCCTGTCTCACGGTAAGACGCCAATCCCAACATCACTCTTACTGACTGGGGTTAAACCCCTTATGCAAAGGTGGATGTTAGGAACGATTACTTGTAATTTAGCACAGCTTACTTTACAATGGACAATGATATTTTACGGGTTAGTAAGCACTGCTTCAAAAGTCCGCTTGGTTGATTTGACATAGTTCTCGAAAAATATTAATCAAAACATTTCGTACTTTAAGAGGAATGACTTATCGCTTGTTATGCTGTAGTCCTGCAGTCCGTGTACAAATGAATGCCAAAGATGATTCGCTCTCTCCTAAAATTAGGCAATCGTGCGATCTGCTCTACGACAGCCCAGTGCATGGCCCGTGGAAGAAAGCTATTAGCAGTTATAACAAATTACTTATCTAAGTAGATGCTGATTGGCACCCCAGCATATGCGTTTGAGCTTCGGCAGATTCGTAGCACTGGGCTCATCAACGATTTCGTGGTAATCGCCGAGCTATTATGTTTAGGAAAGCCGAACCGGCCATCTAGAGCTGTTCCGGATGTGGTCACTATCTTGATGAAGATAGGTGTGGATTTTGAGAAGTGGTGGGGTTAACTGATCATATACCGGCTATTGTTAATGATGCTGAGGAGGCGACACGAAAACCATACATCTACTAGCTTTCGTCTGCTTACTGTGCTTTTCAAATATCAATTTCTGTCAACAAGCATGCGAAAAGAGAGATGGCAAATGGTTTCTTCTACTTCGCACACAGATCCATCTACAAGCAGTATATCCATTGTCGACCCGAAGGATCAATATGTAGAGCCATTCTGATGGGATACACAATTGCCGCGTAGCCAGAGATAAGCGAAGACGATAAACTATGTGCAATGATTTATCGCAGGTAAAATAGCAGATGCTTGACAGGTGTCGTAAGATGGAGTGAATATTAACATTAAAAGAATCAAACCATAAGTGAATCGTCAGTTTGCGCGTCTACCGAATTAACTGTATTGTTGCGAACTCATAAATTAAAATAGTAACTAAGTGTGCGTACACAAAGCAATATGAGGAGCTCACTTATTCCGGGCGCAAAGTTAAATATGAAAATGATAACGCTTAGCCGTGGGCTGCTACAAAGAACCGTTGTGACACGTAACTGTAGTTTGAGTACATCCAAGGAACTCTCTCCCATAAATAAAAGCAGTACCTGTGGCGTGCCTGCGTCAATTTATTTACAGTGTGTCGTACTCACTAGTTCGTTTGTTGCAGTCAGTCCACCATAGTGAGGAACCAGGCACCATACGGAGCGGCTGCCGCCGAGCGAACAACGGAAAGAGCACCGGTAATTTGGTGGCCGTTCTCGGGTCAACTGTAGGGTCGCAACACAGATGGTCGGCACCAGTGTCATCCACAAAATCGCCAAACACAAGAGAAACTAAAGCTCCAAAGCCTGTAGTCTCCAGTCGCAACCATAGTGTCTTAAACCGTGTGGCAGGTAATGCCACCGGATCCAAATGCAATACAATTAAGTACAAGCTGACAGGCGATGGAAATTAGTGGAGTTCGTTTGTACGGCGAACGGTGTGCATACTGATCCCAAGACAGTAAAACACGTAGTGCGCCACCCACAGACACTGTGCTACAGTCGACCCCGACTACTTAAGGTGACACTAAACTCAGTGTATAAAACAGGTCGTACTACTATTTGCGAATCGACTCCGCAACGCCACAAGTGCCGTGCGCATACTGTCTGACATCCCGTAGAAAGAACGTTCAGCGGATCCCACTAACCGAGAGGGAAACCGAAAAAGATGAAGATAAGGAAAATGTGTTTGTTGGCGTGTTTCTGATCTTTCAGATTCCTCCTCTGACGATGATTAGGTATACGACCGGGAGCAATGGCGATACAACCGTGATACTCTTGTTCTCGAAAATGTCATCGCCACGTCGTTGACAGGGCTCGCTGTGTCACCTAACTACAAGTGGTGTGGCCCACGCTGCTGCACCGGCGTTACAGTCTGAAATACTGGCACAAACTCTTATGGAGAACTGGTTGTCGACAGAAATGTGTCTTAAATCAGCAGGCACACGATCACGATATACTGTCAACGTAGTGGAGGCGCCAATCTCAATGAAAACATCCACTATAGGATCCCACGCGGTGACGACTTCAACTGTCGTCATAACATCTGAAGTGCACAGCAGAACACGAGCGACCACCGCGATCCGGAGCAGCTGTTACGAGAATATATCCCAACTTCTTCTCGATAGCCTGCAACCGATCCAAGAAACGACCCCTAACCGATCATCCGGCGGGACATGACAAACTGCGGCTTTTTTCCTCAGTACATTATTGACAATGAGCACTGATGCGGGTTTTCTACCTGTCAAATTCCGGAGTGAGCTGTGAAGTACATAGTTTGGTTCCGGGTTATTCCGCCATCTGAGTGAAATGGACTGTGATGAAATGTAATGTAATTAGGAAAGCGCGTATTCAAGGTGTTTGTTGAAAAGCCTTTAAGAGTAGCCATGTCCTGGGTTGTAAAGACCTTCCATGCTCGGGATGCCCGAAGGGAGAATCATTTTGTGGGTACTCATGTCGACTGTAGTGTGTGGCCAGTTTGAGCTGCTGACCTCTCAGTTTGCCGTTTGGGCTCATTCGCAACAGATCACGACAGGCGTGAGTTGGGCTCATCAGTATTAAGTGAACAATGACGAGGTCTACTTGCTGACGCCGATGTTTAACACAGTACAATCTCTGGGCTTGCTTTCTGTGTTGGTAGGGAAGGAGCAATAACCCGCCAACGAATTTGGTCGCGCTACGTTGGGGACATGCAGGGGCATCAACGTCGCGCTTGCGCCAGGTGTGCCAGGTATGGATCGCGTATTCCACTTAGGATCTCACGTAGATCTTCAGCATTTGCGAAAACACTGATGGCTGAAAATTTCCGAAAGCACTGCTTAAACGTTAGTGGTGCAGAATGAGCATTCTCGATGCATTTTCGGTCTGTTTTGAACGTCATTCCCATCCTGCACCATAACTTTGCGGTTGCTTTTCTTGGGCGAACGTTGCCACTGTTGGCTCCCAAGTCGATATCCATTTGTAAACTGATGGCCTGTGCTAGTGACTTTACATTTTGTCAAGCCGAATTGGAGCCGGTTTTCGGATGACCACATATAGGACCTATCGAGGTCGCTCTGCAGTGCTGTGTGATCTCCCACTGTCATTATATCCTTCAAGCTTTTGACATCGTCTACAAACAAAAAGCAGTTGGACTGTGGTATACTAGCAAGATCGTTGACGAATACTAGGAATAAACATGGTCCGGTATCGGTCATTGGGGTAAAGCAGAGGCAGCTTCAATTAGGTTGAAAATGGGGCTGCGTACTCTCACATTCAGCTGATATTGAATGAGTACGTTGCTCACCCAACCAAGCGCAGGTTCACTGATTGCTGCGCTTTAAAAATTGTGACGGAGAATTCGATCGATCGCCTTAGAGAAGTCCCAGTAGACAACGCCGATGCCTACTATGCTAGCGAAAGCTTTCGTCCAACTCGCTCAGATTAGTAGCAGCCAGGATTTCGGTAAAACCCATGCTGCTGTGAAACTGTTGTGTTAGTGTTCTCCAAGTATCTCATGGGCGCTGCTGCGATAATATCTTTAATTACTTTGCATAACACCGAGAGGCGAATGATTAGACGATATTTCGAGGGCTTTGCGCTATTCCTACTGTTGTAAATATAAGTGCCCATTCCACAGTTTCATATGGTGGGAAACTGCATTTCATCCAGATATGGTTGAAATAACTGAGCTAAGGGTTCTGCGATTTGCAGGGCCGCTGTCTTCATGAAGTTCGGTTCGATGTCGACCAAGCCAGGACAGCTGTGCACGGGTATGAAAAATAGTCTTTTATGATCCCATCAGGTAAAAATATCAGGCTTCGAAAGCGGGACCGCTGTGATGTTGTTTGGGACTTGCACCCCTTAAGCCACCAAGTCACGACGAGCAATGCTGGACACAGCGGTCAATAACTGACTGGAAGTTTATTTTGATCCATTTATTTTGTGACTGGATTGCAACGCGCGTTCTCATTGCGAATCCTGATTCATATTGAAGCGAACCTTGGCCAATTTGATCACCAGGACCGTATCTGAAGTCTATGAAACCTCACCTGTTCTGAATCACGTGAGATTGATAAAATATTTGTACATAGGTACATCGACGAGTTCCTCTTTCAAATCAGCATTAAATAGTTCGCTGAACGATGCGGGGGCGTGGACTGTGTGCCGGTTGAAGTTCGCCACCAGAAGGACGTGTATGTGTGACCGTGCCAGGAGTTGCTTCAAGGTAGTAGATAGGCTGTGATCCATTTCGAAGGTGAACATTGAAGGGTGTTAAACATTTGATAGTAAATATGCATCAGCACATCTCATATACAGCCGGTGCCAAGGAGAGTCGATAATTTGCGTACCTAATTCGTCGATATTACCTACATGCAGGTTAGATCCGTAATACGAGAGCACTCCACCTCCTCTGCTGAGTCGACCTTTCGTAAGGAAATAATGCCGCACAGACCAATCTCTGCATCGATCACCGTGTTCTGCCAAGTTTCGATAATCACGGCTATGTCCCAAGGTATGACGCATACGTGACGAATACGAAGTTCGGTTAGCGTGCTGAGAAGTTGTGCGTTGGTATTCAATCATCTGAAGACCTCAAACTTTAGAAGCTTGTTTGTGGATGCCGTCTTCGAGTGGGGGTTTTTGTGGACCCTTGCATGGGCGCCTGCCGGTGGTTTTTTGTAGGACCGTCGACAGAAGTCCCAGAGGCGTTCTTCGTTGTTGTGTAGAGTTGCGCCTTATCAGTAAGTGGATGACAAGCTTGACTTTCTTCTGCTGTGGAGATATTGTGACGGTGTCTCGGTTATGAGCTGCACGGTAGCAGGGTTGCACAGGTGAACCGTTTGTGCAGTGTTACCTTGCTATTTGTTGTCGTGCATCAATCGCCTTTATCCGTATTTTGGGTGACAACATTTTACTTATTTTGTGGAACATTTCAATCACCTTTCCTGACATCAGTCTGGATTGCAACATTACTTTCATCACTGTGGGACCACTCACTTTTGTATTTAAGTAATAACGGTAACCTTGGTTTTAAAGTAGCGATCACTTTTGCGAGTGTGAGTATTTCACGGGTAAAGTGCCATTCGCCACAATCATGCTTTTCGACCCCTAACTCGCTTATGGTCTGAAGCTCGAGGACTACGTGGACAACGATCGATTTTAGGTCTTTCTGTTTACGGAACTTATCCGGATTTGGTTTGCGCCACTGAAATTCGCCCCAAGGAACATCTAGAAAAATGCGAGCAGTGCACAATGTGGTCTGGAGGCGTAATATCTCGTCGCCTAGCGACTTAGATGTCACACATCCCACAAGTTAAGCGCATGTGGCGGGCAATCGATTCTTTTGAGATCAGTGTCCGCAAGTCACTCATTGCTGTGAAATCCACCGAGACCTATAAGCCAGTGATGCACGCGACTGCCGTTGGGCAATAGTCCATTCCGGAAGGGAACACATATTAGTTACTAGCTTGGTTACGACAATGGGTTGTTTTAGCTTCACAACGATGGTTAGTAGAATACAGCATATAGAAGGGTTGGTTACCCACCTACGCGCAATGATCGCGTTTTCATTCAAGCTGTTCGGAGTGTGGATGTTTGTGAGCCTAATTTGAGGACAAGCCCTCTAAGCGTCACAGCCTCTATTCGAGGCCATCATGTCAGGTTGCAAACGATACTGTGCCCATCTGCGAGACTTATGTAGACACTTAACATTCAAACGTACTGGACGCAGGCTGTGTTTCGGACAATGCTGCTGGGGGGTTACTGACAAGTTACGGAGTAAGTGAACGACTGGTGGTCTTCACTCATGAATGTTTAAGAATCATTGCTTTTAAGTGATGGGGTATGCTGATGTATTTAGAAACACATTAGTTGATGCCGCTCTGGATTATCTGTTGAATTCGAGCTTTTTGCTTTGATCAAAACACGTTTTTCTCACGCCTGCAGACAGGCCGCCCTAAGTCGATTAGCCCCTGTACAACCTGGTGAGTGGTAGTCAGTGAATGACAGAGCGCAAAGCCATGAGAGTTGGATTCCACACTTATTGCACTCCTAGACAACAACTTCGTGGTTGGTCACATGTATGATTAGCGACCTTTTCTCTTGCGGCAAATTCGCATTGCTACTGCTGTTTATGGTTTCGCCAGTTATCATGTTTAGCTAACAGACCGCTACCTCGGTGTTTCAAATAATTGTGACCCAAACATTATAACCCTCATGTGAACTAACGAGTTCAAAGCATTTATATCAGAAAGTGGTCCTGCACTGTTTCATCTAATAGCGAACTTACCCCATCAACCTCAATGCAGGCGTGCTTTGCTGCCCAATGCACACTCACTCAAAAACAAAATACATTTTCTAGACACACTTGTTTCCTCTCTAGTACAAAACTCATGTTAGTGACAGAGATGTGGCCAACAGGAGACATTCCTGAGTTGAATTATCACATATTATAATACAATGCGCTTATTTGATGCCGTAACTCTATACTAGATGGTGGTTGTGCCATCTGTATGGACGAATCATTGCGCGCTTCAACAGTAATTATCCCCTCACGTAAGTGCACAGGACTATGCTTTTATAAAAGTGCAACAGGATAATTACCATTCACTCCTCAAGTGGGTATACATGTACCAAAATACCAATTCCGCAGAAAATGCATTGAAACCAGCCAAGTATTAAATGATACGCAGAGACCTCAGACCATGTGCCCACCGCGTATAAACAAATTTGATTCTACCATTCTATACATACGGATGGACATATCGAGTTACAACTCTCATCAGAAAGAATAACATATTGGCTCTGATGGTTATCATTTACCTAATACCAGATTCCGCTGATGCTCTTGTAGTGACCACAGGGTGATCTCCTTTTCATTCACAAATCACGTCCGACTCCAAATAACGACTGCGCCCAAGTTAAAGAGGCTCTCAAATCAAGGTTATCAGTTGATTGCGATTCATTTACTGATTTACTCAAGCACGTTCAGTTGCGCTTTTCTTCCTCATCGGCGACGCGCAAGACGCGGCTGATGCTCAATGTAACAACATTAATATCTGTCTCGACACACTGGCTCCTTTTTGATATAGACACTTTAGCTCCGGTCACGAGGAAACTGTTTCACGGAAAATAGCTGCTAAGTTCAGAAAGCTACTTAGGCCTAGCACAAAACGAATAACCTCTCATTCATGATTTTACATTATACTTTGGCCACATCCCTCATGTTTATCACGCCAAAGTACTGAGGAATAAAAGGGCCCTCGACTCAAAAAACGTGAACTGGTCAGTTTTTTAAAGCGCAAAACTACCAATGGTATCTAAGACACAATCTGGCATCAGATGGTTACAACGTAACAGACTCTGCTCACAATAGCGTGATGTTTGATCAGCGATTCTGCGCCTCCTTCAACTTGGCTAATGAACCCATTGTCTTACCACCAGTCATAGTCAATCAGCACAACTGTTCCAAATTTGAGCTCCAATATATGCACAAACATATCAGTGCATAAAGTACCCTATTTCGGGGTCCAGGCAATATTCCCCACTTGTCGTAACTTTGGACGGGGATGACATCTCCCGCTGTTGCCGTGTATGTTCAATCAATCCATGGAAACCGGCACCGTGCCAGCTTAGCAGAAAGAAGCCATGGTGTTCCGCAACATAATTCAGGCTAACTGTTAGAGTTTCAGTTTATCGCCTAACAAGTCACACATCTATCTTATAGAAATTCTAGAGCGACATATCAAATCCAAATCTGCCAAATTTCAACCATCAATAGAGTTAGTATACAATTCTCAACATGGCTTCCTGGAAAATGGGTCTTGTTTGAGGTGCCACCTAGGGTTTCTACACCATATAACTGTCTCGCATGATTTTGGTAGGTGGAAAACGCGGTTATCTTGATACACACTAAAGGCATTTGATCGGGTGTCTCAAGAAAACCTACTAGTTAAAAGGATGCCCCACAGGCTCGGTAAACCATTGCTTTCTTAGTTCTGATCATAATCTACACATCAAATGCAGACGGTACAAATTCAAGAGCACAAATCTGAGCCTAAAACTGTCACCAGTGGTGTGATAAAAAGAAGTGCCCTCGGGCCGCTACTGTTCTGAAAATATGTTAACAATATCTTCAACTTAGTAAACTTCGATACACCATAACTATTTACAGACCACATTGAACTCGTGTACATTTTCCTTTCGTTTGCCTCCA